TTGCAGCATTCTTGGTTAGAGCATGGTGCTGATAACACCGAGGTCCAGTGTCCCGACCCGCGGGATATTCAACGCAGACACTGGAGGGGAGAGTGGGAATTGGATGGGACAAGAGACCCGAGAAATTTTCTGATCAAGTCTCGTTTATTGATTCTTAGGTTACATCTTATATAGGAAAAAGCAGGCATGCTGCAAAGGGTCTGGAATGTAAAGATATGATAATATCTTGAGGAGAGACAAAGACAGGACATTCAAAGTAAAGGTTGCCACCCAGAATGTTTATGGTTAAACAGTTTCTAGAGAAGGATAAAAGGTCACTTGCAAATTAACTTGCATAGCCAGGAGCAATCAGTTTCTGGCATAAAGATTTCGAGGCAGTTATCATGTAAAGCACGGCCATCTGAGCAGATTGTCATGTAGGAGCAGTCTCACAAGAAGGGGTTTGGGGCTTCAGGTCCCCAACAGTCCAGGGTTCGATCCCTGTCCTGGCCAGCGGCCAAAAAGACAAACTCTCACAAGAAGGGGTGTGGAGCTTCAGGTCCCCAACAGTCCAGGGTTCGATCCCTGTCCTGGCCAGCGGCCAAAAAGACAAAAGAAAAAGAAATTCCATCATTCAATTTGAGGTTTGATAATCCTCCAAACTGATTGAACAGGAATTACGTTCTTACAACTGTCTTCCTGAAAGTTTGTGTTATTTTTGTTTTTGTTTTTTTTGGCAGCTGGCCAGTATCGGGGTCCTAACCCCATGACACTGGGGTTATGAGGTTACATTCTAGCTAACTGAGCTAACCAGCCAGCCCTTGTAATCCGTATTGAAATGAGTTCAGCCTCCCTCATTCCCTCCTCCTTTCACTCTAAATGAAGTTTTTATCGAGTGTGCTTACATATATGCCTAAAAAATAACCTCTATGAGGAAACAGTGGAAAACCAGGGTTGGAACTGAGAGTAAAAGGTTGGAAAGGGAGACTTTTATACCCTTCACTGCTTTATTATTATCATTTTTAATCACATGCATGTATTATTGTTATAAGTACTTTTTAAAAAAACTAACACATAATAATTGCACCTATTTATGGGTACAGCATGATATTGTGATACCTACATATAATGTATAATGATCAAATCAAGGTAATTAGCATATCCATCACCTCAAACATTTATCATTTCTTTGTGCTGGGGACATTTAAAATCCTTGTCGCTATTTGAAAATTTAGGAAAAATGATTGTTAATGACAGTCACTCTGTAGTGCTATAGACCACTAAAACATAAGTACATTTTTAAAACCTAGTTTGTTGATGGCTAAATGCAATGTGATGTTCTGGATTGGATCCTGGGAAAGAAAAAGGACATTAGTGGAAAAACTGGTGAAATCTGAATTTTTTAAAAAAACAACTAATTTTACAAAACTGCAGAGGATGAAAGTAACGTATCTGGAAAGAGATACTATTTCACTATGGGAATGGATTTTTTGGTTCACTTGGGATTTTCATAGTCTAGGGTTGGGGAGGTGGAAGCCACTATAGGGTCTCTACAAAAGCTGTGTGTGTGCATTCACTTGAAATTAAAATGATTTTGTACTTCTGTTTCATTTGACAGACACTTATAAAATCCTAAGTGGCTTTCACTGGATCCAAGCTCTAGATTCCTTACTCAGTTACCCTGTGCAAACATACAATGAATATTTGTTCATTCCTCTATACCCATTTCCCCAAGTGGAAAATGGGAAGAGTCCTATCCTTGGTGATATCTTAATAAAATAATTATTGCAAGTTATTTGCCTGAAATAGATAATCTGTGAAATTGAAGGCTCCATAAAGTAGTTTTTTTCTACAGAAGCACATCAGTTTACCAGCTTCAGAACAGCAAACTGAAGTTCAGAGTTAGCAGAAGACAGCGGTCACTGAAATTAGGGTCTGGATACACCCTGTCCACCACCCGGGCTAGCTCACCGCTTGATTTGCTGAGAGCTTTTGGCCATTATTTCTATTTGGTCTGCAGTAGCATCTGTTGTTATAGACACAAGGGAGGG